GTCTGTCAAATAAATAAATAAAATCTTTAAAATAAAATAAAGGTATAGCTTCTGCTCCTTCAATAGCTAATGCAAGAAATACACCAAGCAGAGCAGCAAGAAAAGAAGAATCTGTTGAATATCCACTTGGCTTTACAAAGAAAGGAAAAACCTCATTTGAAGGTTAGGAACACCTGGCTTCAGTTAATGTGCATGTCCCTCAGGTAAGCAGTAATGAGAAGACAAACTGGGGAAATTAACAAGGTCCAGGACCCAGCTCTCTGACTTACTTGGTACAAGACCCTGGGCAACTATTTACCCACTGTATGCCTTAGTGTTCTCAACTGTTCGATAGGAATAAAAATAGTAACAAAACTTCACAAGATTTTGTGAGGATCCTATAGAGCACCTGGCAACTTAGTCACTTAATATATGATAGGCACTACTTTTGTTATTACATCATATTTGCCTAACCTTAATGATTTAATCAAATATGCCCTCTTCTCTGTCAACTAGTCATTACTCAACATTTATTTACCTTGCACTTTTTACAACAAAGACCATCACTGCATTGAGAGTCTTGAGTCAAGGTGCATTTCTTACAACATTCTGCTCCTTCAAGGACACACTCCTAAGGAATACAAAGATTTTCAAAACATCAGAAAATGGTGTCATTTTCTAAAAGTACCAGGATATTTTTTTAAAATAAATGTATAACCCCACAATAATAATCTTTCTTCCATATATCCCATGAAATTTCCAGACATAACACCAAGTCTGTATGTCTCAGTGAGTGGACCTGGAATGACCCTGAACAACCTAAAAAAAAAAAAAACCATCAAAACACCCAGAGACTTACTGCCGGGGTCCCACAGTCACACTCCTCTCCAGTTTCAATGAAGCCATTTCCACACTCAGGAGGATCAAGAAGCTGTGGGATGAAACCAAAAGGATAAAATATGGATAAATCAAGATCAAAGACCTTATGAGAGACCATAAGTACCACAACCATACATCTGGTATACCTGTCAGTCATTTCCAAGTATATTTTTATTTTCCTAAACTTGAAAGCATAACTCTAGAACTTTAGAACTGGGAACTTGAGAACAGAAGTGTGTGCTTCTGCAGGGGAAATCGGAGGGGTGGACGAACCATGAGAGACTATGGACTCTGAGAAACAAACTGAGGGTTCTAGAGGGGAGGGGAGTGGGAGGATGGGTTGGCCTGGTGGTGGGTATTGAGGAGGGCACGTTCTGCATGGAGCACTGGG